CAACAGCAGCGGACAACGAGGCAGTGGCAAGGGCACGGCACTGCCAGCTCCGTGGTGCTCTAGGATCATCCACGTTTCCAAGTCTGTGGATGGGCCTTGCTGCCCGGTATGAGCACCCAGAAAAGAAGTGAGGCAAATGACTCATGTAGACCACCAGGCAGGCTTTGTGTGAGCAACATGGCTATCAATTCACCCAGGTGCGGGTGGGCTAAGTCCAAAAAGAGAGTCAGCAGATGGTGGTGGGACAGGAGTTGGTTTTACAGGTTTGGGGTAGGCTGTGGAAAGTTAGAGAAGTTAAAGTTCGGGGCAGTTTTGCAAGCTGGGGGCAGGGACTGCCGGGGGGTTGCCACGGGACATATGATCACAAGGGCAGGGGCTATCCATTACAAACAAGCATGATCATAAGGGTGGGGAGTAGCGGTTGCAAGCATAGGGGAGGGTGAGGTAAATTACAGTTACAGGGGTGGAGGTCTTGAGGAACTCAATGTCCAGGGGGAAATTTTTGCAAGGCTGAGCAGGAACAATGGTTGCAGGTTACAGGGGGAGAGTAATTAGCTGAGGCAGGAACAAGCTGTTTCACTTCTTTCTGTGGCCACCTGGTTACCTGTGGTTACTTCAGCCTTTCTGGCTCCTGGGGACCATCCAGAGGTGTACATGCAGGTCACTAAGGCTATATAATGGTAAGGCCTGGACTTCAAGGCATGACACAAAGCCTAATGTATTGTAAATCTTTAATAAACGTGAACTCTTATTATTTGTTCACACTCTAGTATCGTTGAGATTCGGTGGCTACACAGATCATGTCCTCTTGAATCTGATATTCTAACAGATTCTAACGGGGAAGACAGATAGTAAGCAGGTAAGCAAATCAACGTGAATTGCGTTTAGAATACCGGAAGGCAGCAGGAGCCGCCTGAGGCTGGAGCAGCAGTAGCTACTGCTGTCATTAACTACCCCAAACCTCAGCGGCTCCCAACACTTAGCCATTCATGTAGCTCGTGGCTCCGCAGGTTGGCATATGGGTTGGGCTCAGCAGGGCAGCTCTTTAGGCCAAGACTGGGTGTGGCAATGGTGGCTGGGTCTTCCCATGCATCTGCAATCTGCAGGGGCTGATAGGGGCCAAAGGGACAGCCGGGACACCTGGAACTCCAGCCACATGGTCTCTTATCCCCGGAAGGTTCTTGTGGGCTTATCCCCATGGTGGCCTTGGGGTCCTGACAGCTTAACAGCAGAGCAGCAGGCAGAGTGGGCTGAGCCCAGGCGGGGCACCATACCAACCCTGCCACATCCAAGTCATCAGAGACGGCTAGCCCAAAGGGTAACACTGACCCTGCCTTGATGGGAGACGCCGCAGACCACCGAGGCCACATTCAGGACTTATCCCAGGAAATGTCTTGCTTAGCCAGGTGCCCGACAGGCCTCTCTAGGAGGCACCACCCCAGGAAGGAGAAGAGCCAGCCACTCGGACAATTCCAGAGAGAGTACAAAGAAGGCCCTGACACTGGCTAGGAGCGGCCTGCAGGGGCTGAGAGGGGGAGGCTGGCTGATGGGAGGGGACTTGTGGGTTGTGAGGCATCGGGGGACTCCAGGCAGGGGAGCAGCTGATCTGGCAACATTCAGTTTCTTCCAAGAGTATTTTTGGACAGCCCCTGGCAGGGAACAAAGACAAACTCCATGGGGGGCAGACAGGCAAGGAGGAGCCAAGAGGTGCTGTGGAGAACAGGTCCCAGGGAGGGTGATTTGGGGGTGGGATGCCGCACAGAGCTCTTACGAGGTCAGCTCCACGCACCCTCATGGAGACCGAGGCACAGCCCTGCACCCCAAGCATGGAACGAGCAGTGAGAGGGGGTGAGATGGAGCCCGGGGAGGACGGGCCTGCAGGCCCCAGACAGGATCCTTGCCTGTGACCCACGCAAAGGAGACAACAGGATTGGGTCTGTTTCCTGACAGTTGCGCCAGCTGCCATGAGTGCTGAACAAGTGGGCTGGCATGAGGGCCAGTGAAGTCTGGAGTGGCCCAGGAGGGCAGCGTGGACAGCACTGACCCCAGTACCAGGCCCCATGTGGCCTTGGAGCCCGCATTCCTTCCCTCAAGGCCCTACAAGCCATCTCCAGAACCTGGGTCCACGTGAGTCATACATAGGGGCTGTCGACTTCGTTACCTTTAAACGTGGATACGGCCCCCACCTAGAGGTTCTGTCTCCAAAAGAAACACATTGGTGCATGGTTATTTCAAGGCTGAATTCTTGTGATAAGGTTTACCTTGAGAACCTGGAGTCCCAGCTCAATTCAGGATGGCTGATAAGCCAGGCTGACGCGGCTCCTTTGTGGCCAAGGACGCGCACACGAGGGGTTTCTCTACATGCACCAAAGATCACCTGTCGATGGGTCACTCCTTAGACTCACACCAGACCTCACCTCTTCAGGACTAGGGACCTTGATTTGCCAGTTACAGAAATATTTATGGCCTCCAGGGAGCTGTGGGTCCCACGACTCCTGTGTCCGCTGCCTGAGGCTGCTGTAATAACTGCTGCAAACTTGGAGACTCAAAGCAACTGGAAGTTATTCCCCGACAGCTCTGGCAGCCAGAGGGCTGAGATCAAGGTAAGGGCAGGGCGGGTTCCCTCTGGAGGCTCCAAGGGAGAACCTAGCCCCAGCGTCTCCAGCTTCTGTGGCTCTGGTATTCCCTGGCTTGTGGCTCCCTCCAGCCTCTGCTTCTGTTGCCACAGGACCATCTCCACATGTCCCTTTCTGTCCCCTAAGGACACTCTCCCTGCATTGAGGGTCACTCTAATCAACATGACTTCATCTCCAGCCCCCACTTTATTACATCTGCAAAGACCCTCTTCCCAAACTGCCAGATTCTGAAATTCTGAGTGTCTGTGAGTTTTGCAGGGACAGTAATCCTGAAGTTAGGGTGACTGTTCCTCATCATTCATTCTCCAGACGGCAGGGGCTTCCCAGGCCCCCTTGGAGAGGCGAGGGGCACGCTGAAACCCAGGGGCCTGGCCTGAGGTGGATCTGCCCGACCTGCAGAGAAGCTCCCGGGCCCTGTGCAGCCTCTGTGGACCCGCTCAGGTGTGGCTTTGGCTTGGGGTCAGGAGAGCCAGTGGGGCCCACAGGGCATCACCAGCGAGTGCGGCAGGTGGAGTGCAGGTGCCCTCTGGGTAGGAAGGGTCTACGTTCTTCATTTTCCGTCTGTGGGGCAGTGTCCTGTATGGGGCCAGGGAGACCCCACTGTGCTCGGGCACAGCACAAGACAGCGATCCACCCGAGTACTTCTCGTGGGCAGGCCGCCAGCTGCTCCTCAGCCCCCTCTGTCTCTCTCTGTCAAAGCCTCAGCGCACCTCCCGGTAAGTGCTACCCAGGGCTGCCAGGTGAGAGCCGCAGTGCCTCGTCCAGGGGAGAAAATGCAGCCACCAGGGACGCATAATGGCTCTTTCTCCAGCCTCTTAGAACCTGAGGTGACAATTTTCAAAAGTGCCTTAATTCATTTCTAAATACAGACAAACATAGCATTAAATCATTATCAGACATGAGAAATGCAAAGCAGCACGTCTCGCTTGCATTTGACTCCATTTAGTGAAAAGGAGCTTTCAACAGGGCGGGAGGAGGGAGGATCGGGCGAGAAACGAAATCACAGCTGAGAAACGCCCGTGATGGGAATGATAAGGGACCCTCTGAAAGGCACCCAGCTCAGCATGGCGCCCACATCGGGGTGGGTCCTAGGCACCCCTGTCCCTGCGGGCAAGAACTGCAGGCAGGGCCAGCTTCCACATGGGCATACTGGCTCTGCCCAGCCTTCCTTGGGGCCCTGGGCACACCGTGCCCCCGGCCCTGGGCCTCAGCTTTCACAGACCTCAGCCCAGGAGGTCTCCCCTCCCACATTTACCCACTCAGGCCCACCTGTGGGAAGCCTTGCCAACCTCCATCCTCTGTGGGAGGCCGCACCTCTCCCTTCCTACTCCAGACTGAGCGCCCCAGGTACCTTCCCTACTTTCCTAAGCCTGTGAGAGGGTGGAGACCACAGGTGGCATGTGGTACCAGATGAAGGAGTGAGGAGTGAACCAACGACTGCCATGGTCTCTAATGGATGTACCCAGCAGCCCTAAGGAGGCAGCACTCTAAAGGGAGACTGCAGCTTTGCAAAGGCTACACGGACACATCCACAGGAGGTTTTCGAGCCAGTGGATGGAGCTCCTTTGCTGCTGCAGCTTCTGCTTCTGCCAGGGCATCCAGCAAGCATAGGCTGGACACTGGGCCCAATCTGCAGGGCTCATCAAACTCTCCACAACAGGGCAGGGCTGGATGGAACTGGTATGTGGCTTCCTGGATCTCCAGGAACCTCTTCCAAGAGGACTGGACTTCTTAAAATTGTTCCCTTGCCTAGGACTCAGCACTAGGGCCTGCCTATGAGAAAATCTAACTCTCTCAAAAGAAAACTGTGTTGGCCAATCCTACCCAGCCACAGAGGCTGTGGGAAGGGAGGGCAGCACTGTCTCTTGAGAAGCAGCACCCACGCACACACACACTGCCCAGGGAGGCGTCTCTACTCATCATCTGCCCCGGCACAGATGCAGGAAAAGGCCACAGCTCTGACCTTCAGGGTCCAACTACAGTGCCTGTGAAATTTCTCTCTGGGGACAGGGACTGTGTCAGGATCAGAGCATGCAGAGGCAGCAGAGGCCACCTGCCGAGACTGATGTCCACTAATGAGGACCGCGTCTCACTGCAAGGGCTGGCTGGCTGTATGCTCTCTGCAACCACTGCTGGGTGCGGCCCACCCTCCACTCAGGCATGGGACCCTCAGCCCCCGCACATCCACACCCCCACCTCTGCCATCTCAGAGCCGCAGTCTCAGCCCCCACCTGGGTCAGGCTTCAGTGGCCTCTCCGTGAGGGCGCAGGGCCTGGACTGCCTGGCTGGAGAAGCCAGCCTCGTGCTGTAGACAGAAAGCCTCTGACATTGCGCCAGCAGAAAACAATCAAGAAAACTGCCAAGGGAAGGCGTGTAAAAGTTTAGTATTTTGTTCAACAATTTAAAAAAGATATGACACCAGCATAAAATATTGCATAGCAAATAATAGATTATGTGTGTACAAAATCCAGTAGTAAGAAAAACATAATTTTGTCACTTAGAATGATTCATAAAATATATTTTGAGCAACAGAGATAATGTGGGTCCCAGGTGCGTGGACGGCAGCACCAGAGCCAGGGCCGCAGCCACAAATTCACGCTCACGGAACCCAGGACTGCTGGGTGTTGGCAGCAGTGACGGTGGACGCAGGTGCTACAAAATGACCAGCGCTCGGTCTCTCAGCCACAGGCACAGGTCAGCCGGGTGGGCCCTGAGGTCAGAGAGGGCAGCAGGGCACAGACGGACCCCAGCTGGGCTGATGGGAAGGACGTCGCCCTCAAGCCCTCACTGGTAGATGACCTTCACGCAAAACGCCTCTTCGTTTTTGTCCTCATGGTCGTTGATGTAGATCAGGATCTCCTCCTCCCCAGCTCTCCGACTAGACGCAAACTGCAGGCCGATGGTGTAGGTCTCTCCACCCGCAACCTGGAGGCAAGCGTCCAAATCCCAGCATCCATACCTGGGCCATCCTGCACTCTCCCCGGCAGCCTCTCCGTACGGTCATGTATTTCCCAGGGGAGCTGACAAGGGCCCAGGAATCCTTCGCATGCATCCAAGGCCTGCCTTTGACTTCGGCGCCCAGGACAAGTATAGGGATGGCCTGGGTGCTCAGCCAAGGTGACGTGTTATGCGTAATGGAGAACACACTCATTTTTTATCTAAACTGTCTAATATTACCGTGAAAAGCCCCAGGCACACTGCCCTGTCCCACGCTCATGAGAAACTTTGCTGAATCTCCAGCTACTAAAAAGACAACGGGCCACCCAAGTATGGGATGGCACGTGTCACCACCCTGGGTCTTTCGGAAGACTGCTGGTGATTCGAGGAACTCACTCCCCAATGCAGGCCCTCCATTCAGGTCCCCGGGCTTCCCTGGGAGTCCCACGCACAGCCCGCTGCACCTGGAAGGAGTCTTCCCTGAACCCCGAGCCTCCCTGGGAGTCCCACTCACAGCCCGCCGCACCTGGAAGGAGTCCTCCCTGAACTGCAGTAGCTCCGGGTGGTCGCTGTGCAGGTGGAATGTCCTCTGGGAGGGGTAGGGGTTGGTGTAGGTGATCCTCTTGTTGACGCCCTTCCCTTCACCCGCAGCCAATGTGATCTCAAAGGCCTGTGGAGGGAGGGGACAGGGAGAAGCTGCAGCCATTCGCAGATGCAGCCACTAGCCCCTTCTCCAAGTATCCCCTGAGCCTACTGTGCACCGTGCCTGGCCCCAGACATGGGGGACCCCACAGAGATAAGACAGATGCTCTCTGGAGCTTCCATCCAGGAGACAGACGGCACAGGAGCAAACACTTGTGCACCCAGCCCTGCCGGGTCAGACCCCTGGATCCGGGTGGCTGAGTCACAGGGCCGAGGCAGGGGTCCTGCAGTACCTTAGTATTGAGGCCCTGTCCCCTCAGCCTGCGCCTGTCACACATACATACCTTGGAGATGAGCGGCTGGCGGCAGGAGAGGCACACGAGCCAGGACGCCACCAGCTGGTGGCAATCCACATCTACCAGGTTAAGGTGGATGAAGCGGCTGCCAGCCCTGAGGGGCCTCACGCCAACATGCAGGTCCTGCACCCCCCGAGGCGGCAGCACAAAGACACCTTTGGGGTCCGTCTTTAAGAGCAAGAGAGGCGGGTCAGGGCAGAGCCTTTCCCGGTGCAAAAGCAGAGGCTCCCAGGTGCCTGCAGCCCCCGGCAGCCAGGGGAGTCCAGGGTCATGGGTGGCTCAAGGGCGGCCAAATCTGAAGCCACAACCCAACCCTGCATCACTGTGGCCGTGGCTCGGGTCTGCACTGGGAAGTCCCTTCTCCCACATGGTGACTATTCCCTCAGTGCTGCCTCCGCATTAGGAGAACTGAAGCCATCTTGGGCTTAAAACCCTGGCCACCTGATGGGACCTGGGGCCCGCCCACCCCGTCTAACTGTGGCTTCATTAACACCAGAGCTCCTGCCACTGTTTACCTTGCAGGAATTCTGAACACTGGCCTTTGGGAGTTGGTGTGTGCGTCACTCACCCCACAATGGCACATCTAATGAAAGGTGACTGCCAGGAAGCCTCTGGTGACAGCGTCTGAGCGCTGGAGGCACCGTAAAAGCTGCCGTCGGAACCACCCACTGTGCGGCAGCTGAATGCCTGCCACCCATCTCCAGGCTGGGGTTGGGAAGAGGCTCAGAATAGCACCCAGAGGGGCCGGTACCTTCAGCTCCTGGGGGTGCGAGGTGAAAGCTCTCACTTTCCTCACTGTCTTCATCCCCCGAAGGACAAGGGACAGGCGGGTCAGCTGGCCTGTGACGCAGGAAACATCCACACGCTGCAGAGAGTGGACGTACACCTGCCACGTCTGTGTGGGCACCGCCAGCCAGCGATCCCTGCAGTGGGACAGGAGCTATCTGCACTTGTCCCCAAGGACGCAGCACCAACCCATGAAAGGCTGACAAGGGCTGCCAGGAGCGCGGGCAGCAGGAAGGCCGTGCAGGGAATGCCCCAGATGACTGGCCTGGGGGAGGCAGAGCTGGGGCCTGCTGGCTCCACCCCTGGCTGCCCACCTTCCACCTACAGCAGAGGCTCTCAGAGCACAGCAGGGCTGACTGATGCCCCCACTTGTCTGTGCCCAGGATGCCACCTGGCACAAGAGTGCTTAGGAATCACATGTCAAACAAATGACAAGGCACGCTTTGGCCAAACACACACCCTGGACAAGTGGTCACCCCCAATAAGGGTTCTGAGGCAAAGCCAAGGGCAGTGCCACACAGGAGACAGAGCAGGGTTGGAGGTCACGCTGGCCTGAGCACGGAGGCCCCTGTTAGCATCTTAGAGCCAAGAGCCTGGTGCTTCATAGTAAAATGGGGCTGGGCGAAGCATCTTCATGGGCTCATGAGGAAGCCACCCTGAGATGTGTCCACATGGCCCCTCACCCTCTGGTGGGCACTGAATGCCGGTTCCCTTCGGACCCCTCCTCGGAAGTACTGCAGGAAACCTCCCAGCTCACACCAGTTTTAAAGGATTCTCATAGGGCTTGGAAATCAGACTTAGGAAGGTAGGGGAAAGGGGCCAGGTCATTGATCCTGGAGGATAGAGGGGCAGGCCATCCCACCATAGCCCTCCACCTCGAAGGAGGGGCCACAGCTTCATTCACACTGTTCAGCCTGGGGACTCAGCGAGAAAACTGACAAGTGGCTTCTGGGCGGCCCTTGGCGCTGTCTGGGGACAGAGGCTGCCTCATGCCTTTCCTTGGTGGGCACAGGCTGCATCCCAAGTCTCTCAGTTTGCGCGTGTCCCTCTGGAATACAGAGGACGCCTTCCCCATGCCCCTCCTGGCTCTAGAACTCACAGCAAAATCCCGCCTCACAAAGCAAAAGCCCAGTAGCTCCCCCAAGTTTGGGAAGGGGCCAAGGCCACTTTCAATCCAGCAGCAGCCCCAGGCCTTCCTGCTCCTCTCCCCTGCCACAGTACCCAGACCCCCAAAGCCTGTGGACTTACGAGTAAATGATGACAAAGAAGTCTTTGATCTCTGGGCTTGGACCACTAGCTACCTTCAGAAACACGTCCCGTGGCTCCCCAGGGCCCTGCCAACCAGACATGCAGCACATCAGGGCACAGAGCCCACTGCCCGGCTCTGCTGACCCCAGCCAGGCCCCTAAATCTGCAACTAGTCCATGCAGCAAGTGAGAGCCAGCCCCTCCCAGAACAAATCTGTTCATGTTCTGTATCAGTCTGAAGTCACTATTCTGTTCATTGCCAACAAGAAAATCATTGGCTTCCTGATTCTACGTGGATCTCAATAATTAGACTCTACAGGAGATTTTATCCAGTTTCCTAACTGGTCATAACACAATTTTTGCCTTATCCTTTACGCAATGCTAATTAATAAGGGCCTCAATTACCATTTACTTTATTCACTTTGCTTCATGCCTTTTTAAAATTTAAATTCAGATGATCAAGGGGCTGATCTGCTAGTAGAAAAAATAAAAATCCGCTCATAAAACTCTCATAAGAATGTCAAAATAGCCCTTTAGCACCTTGGGAAAGAAACCACTTAGCAGAAAATCTAAAATGAGGAGGCTCCCAGGAGACCTGCAGGGAAGACGAGAGCGAGGCCTCACTGGGAAGGATCTGCCTGAGCCAGGGCCACGACACAACCTACCATGTGCTGGGTCTCACAGATGATGTTTGGGTCGCTGCAGCGAACGTGGACTGGGGGGTCCTCACCAGGCATCCCCACCTGAGCACCTGGAGTGGGGAAATGTCAGAAAGAGTCTTCTCCACAGCCCAGGTCTGTGGGGAGAGCCCCACATATTACACACTACAGTACAGGCTGGGCTCATTACAGTGCTTAGCAAAACCCCTGCTGGGGAAACGGACACTGCCGCCTTTCCCAGGACAGCATCCAAGCCCTGTGTTCCCTGCATGGACACCACCCGTCCAGCCCACCACGGCTCAGCTCCAGCCACCTCCTCAGGGAATCTAGGGGGTCATAAAAGAGAAGCCACAGCTCCCTGGAGCAGGGAAGCCTGCACTCAGCTGTAAGGGCGCCTACCAGAAACATGCGGCCCATCAGGTGAGGCGGCGGCTGTTCCTCCAGGCACACCCGGACCTGGCCCGCGGGAGCTGGGATTTTTAGAAGTGTGGACTCAGCCAGCAAATTCACCCCTGCGTTTTCAAACCATAAACGCAGGAGGCAGAATTCCCCAGGCACCATGTGCTGCTCTAACAGCACCAGGGCATGAAGCCACGAGGTCAACACCCTCAGGAGACATCTGCTTCACACAGGTGAGCCTGCAACATGTGACCACGGGGTCAGTGCGGAACCTGCCTGGAAGCGTGTGCCAGGGCGGCAGGCGGATAGCCTTCTTCAGGAAGGTGAGTTCTGGGTGATAGAAGCGGAAGACCTGGTCCACCATGTGGGGCTGCAGTTCCACGGTCAGGCAGAGCACAGCGATAGGCTTGCCGTCACTCGCTCGGAACAAAACCTGTGAGGAGGCCACACTGAGCGTTGGGATGGGCACCAGGCTCATGGGCAGCTTCTCGTCCCTCGTTAGTACAGGGATCTCCACTGTCGCCATGACCCCCTCACCCTCCGCTGCCATGAGGGGGGAAGGTCAGGCATCATGAGAGGCAGGGACTGAGTCTGCAGCAGTGGGTGCCCACCTAGAGGGGACCACTGAGCAAAGCCTGGGCCAGCGCCCAGCACAGGGCACCCAAGCAGCCACTTCTGTTATTTCTCTCAAGTATGCACACTTCTGCCATGATTCTACCTCCCAACACCCTGCATGCACGTGTGCAAGTCAGGCCAGGAGGTCCTGGGGTGGGTGGTGGCATGGTCAAGTTCACGGTCAAGCACGTCAGCACGAGCTCTTTGAGTCCCGATGACAAAAAGAGGCTGTGCCTAAACAAAAAGGGTTAGAAATAGAAACTTTCCTGGTTTCAAAAGAGTTACTTATTAAAAACCATATTGTCTAAAGAGGTATTAATTTGGACAGCTGATACAAAGGCTATGTTTATTTCAAGATATATACACACCCACAGAGACATGCACATGCACACACACACATGTATACACACACACACATAGGCACATACACATGCACACATGCATGCAGACACACTTCACATCTGCACACACTGAGAAGGAGAGAGGGGCAGGGGCAGGAATGGAAACAAGATCCTTCCAAATAAATCTTGCTTTATAGTTTGACTTTGGACTTAATTAAATGTTTTTAATTTTAAAAACTAAACTAAAATATATGGAAGTGTCAATGTATTAAAAATAAACAAATCTAACCTTCTATCAAGTTGGTGCTGTAACTCCCCAAAGGAGAATTCTTTAAGTGAATTTAAATCACAGGACACAAAGGACCTAAGGGCAAAGAAACCTTGCTCTATATAGAGAATACTCTTATCCCTGGTTGGTACTGACATTTTGAAATATACACATACACAAAGATGGCCCCTGTGGTCAGTGGTATTGTAGCCAAAGGGATTTGGCCGGTGTGGTCAGCAGACTGGTTATATACAGAGGAATTAGGCAAATAAGTAAATACAGTGAACCAAATGGTAACCAGGTTTCTCACAGGCAGAAATGGGAATTACAAACATGGAAACAGACAACAGAAAGAAACCTGTGATGCTAACTGGTACTAGAAGAACTGGCATGAATTTATGGTCTTCAACACACACAGAAACAGTCTGTGCACATACACACACATACATGTGCACACATAGATATCTACATGTCATATATGCATGCTATGCACATATGTCTATGTCTGCATCTGTACATGCAGGCACATACCTCTTGGGTCTCTCTGCTGAGTGGGACTAGCGGCAGTGACACCCAGTAGTACTGAGAACATCTAGCACTCATATCTTGGTTTCTAAATATCATTCTCTACCCAAAGGAACCTTAGCTAAATGACTGACATTCCGGAAATGCACACTGAGCCTGGGGCATCTTGCTGTGCTGGCAACAAGCAAGGATTCAGAGAAGGACAGGGATGAATCAACAGGACACAGGAGCTGGCCTGAAGGGGCTGCCCCTCATTAGTCAGTGACAACATGAATAGCAGCAACAAAACAAAGAATGATAGTAACAAAATGAGTAAAACAAAAATTCACTGTTCATAAGGATATAAAAAATAGGCCGGGCGCCGTGGCTCACGCCTGTAATCCCAGCACTTTGGGAGGCTTGATCACGAGGTCAAGAGATCAAGACATGGTGAAATCCTGTCTCTACTAAAAATACAAAAAAATTAGCTGGACATGGTGGTGTGTGCCTGTAATCCCAGCTACTCAGGAGGCTGAGGCAGGAGAATTGCCTGAACCCAGGAGGCGGAGGTTGCGGTGAGCCAAGATCGCGCCATTACACTCCAGCCTGGGTAACAAGAGCGAAACTCCGTCTCAAAAATAATAATAATAATAATAACTATGTGAATGAGGTAAAGGCCCAGTTCTACCTTACTTAAAATGCCAGTGATCAACAGAGAAGGAATGATGGAATGTGAAAACCCGTGGCAGGCAAGCACTCTGATACTGACTTGGACCAGGCCACCAGTGCACAATGAGACCTAGTGTGTAAAGTCTGATGAAGAACAGGGCATTTGAATGGCCTCAGTATCTTCCAACAAGATACTTACTCACTACTAATTACTAAACTAAAAACATTTCGAAAACATACTAAACACAAAACATTTCTTGATTATTACAGGAAAAAAGTGTGGCAGACACCATCTGAACTGAATGAAAAAGGCATCACCAGTAACAGGACAAAGCAACATCATGTCCCTCCCAATATGAAGTTCTGAGAGGACACAGCAAGTGTCTGCAGAGTCCCTGCCCCAAAGGCATAACCTGGGTCTAACTGAAGCAAACATCAGACCGGCTTCACTGGGTGCGCAGCAGGAAAACTGTCTGCGTACTTCAGAATGGCCATAGCCACACCAGAAGGACTCCGTGGGCAGTGGGCTGGTAGGGGCCACTGGGTGGGCAGTCTGTCAAGTTCTGGGACCTTTGTGAATGTGAATGGGGCCTGTGAGGACAGAAGAGGAGCATCCATTCCATAATTTCATGACTCTGCCTTGGTCACCGAGGAGAGTGGCCTTATGTTCAAGACAACTCAGCTTGAAGTGTCATGGATTAAGGGCCATTACTTGATAATTTATTCTCAAGCTGTTCAGAAAAAATGCATAAGCAGAGAATGGCAAGGTAAACATGGCAAAGGTTGGCGATCAGGAAGTCTGGGAAACCATATGTGGGGATTCTCTGCACTTTTCCTGTAACTTCTCCCTAAGTTCAAAATTATTTAAAATAACTACTTTTTATGAAAAAAGCACAGGAGTTAACTTGAAAAGGATGGTGGTAGCCAGAGAGAGGGCCGTTCCAGCATCTAAGAGTGCCTGCCATGGGATGAAAAATACAAATATAAAACCCAGCTGTCTATCATGAGACTCCACAAACACAGACCGTCTCTGGAGGCTGCTAGGATGCAGCTCATTTACCTGAAAATGGATAAATAAAGGGAATGAGTCTAACATTCACCCTCACTTGCCAGTACAAAGGATGTTTCTGATAACCAAACTGCTAATAGCGAAAGTTCTCATTTGTAGAAAACTCACTGGGAGAATGGCAGGGAGACTTTACAACAGTGGCATCAGGCCATCAGCACCTGAGCACGGTGCCAGCCAGCACGCTCTGTGGGTGGCCTTCGTGAACGACACAGTCTCCCCACTAAGCAACTCCAGAGGCGGAGCACCCAAGGAGGACAGCAGTCCTGAACCAAACACACCAGCTGTAGAAAGACCCAGCCCCGGAGGCAGATGATGCCAAGATCTGTGTTGATTGGGGGCAGGATGACAGCATGCAGTCACAGTAAAAGGAAGAGCCCTTATCGGTCAGACACACCCTGAAGTCATTATGGGTAAACTAATACAATGCCTATATTTCCCCTAGAACTCCAAATTCATGTGAAGAGATCACATTTTTGACATAAAGATTATTTTAAGGTGAAAACATCTGAAATCCTATCTGAACGTCCCTTATCTGACTATAGCACAGAATCCTGAAAATGCAGCTGCCATTAACCCCCCATTTCAAAGTGAAATCATCCTGCAAATTCCAAGAAGGTCACAGACTGCCCATGCCCACAGCATAAAGAGACAACAGAACATCCCTGCCTTCCCACGGAGGCCCTGGCCTCGCCCACTTTGTGCTACACTGGCACAGAAACCTCGACCTCTGGGCATTCAGCAAGCTGCTAGCTTCCCAATGCTGCCACAGGCTCATGACGGTGAGGCCCGTCTCTCCTCCTGCCCCTCTGTCCACGGTCATGCACCTGCAGGCTTGCCATTCAGACCTAAGCTGGCAGAGGATGACTTTCCTCCCAATGGTTTTGGCAACAGGATGTGATGGCTGGGACCTCCCACATGTGTAAGGAAAAAGCATTAGCCTCAGATGTACCTAGAGCACTAAACACAAAACAGATTTATTTCTTAGACCAAGGCAAAGCTGTGGCTGCAGATTTAAATAAAATAAAGCAAGATTCCACTGGTGACAGGACCGGTGGACACCGGGGGTCAGGTTGCAACCACAGTGAGACTCGGGCCACAGGGACTCCACAGCAGGGACCCCACAGCCTCAGGCTGGGACTGCTCGACTCCGAACTCTGTTCTCCAGGCAGGGTGCGGGAAATAACCAGGCTTTTTTTTCTTGTTTTTCACTTCCCAACTACTACAAATGGCTGTTTCTACCAAATAAAAAAACCCTTCAGAAACTGCCATAACGCAGCAGTCTCTCTCAAGCTCCTCCTGAGAATGTCTCAGCCAGCTGAAGGCTTACAACACAGCTTTCCCTTAGCAAGGGAGGCAACCAAGGGCTATGTCTTATTTCCAGGAAGAAGCACACCACACACATACATCCAGTGAATGCTGTGTGTGAGGCTCACAGAGTGGCCGCAGGCTGTGGCAGCCACCACGGGAATGCAGGCCCCAGGCTGGAAGAAGGCAGCCACCAAGGAGGTATTTCCCACCAGACACCAGGCAGGCTGTGCCAGCGCCCGGACGAAGCTGCCCTACCCAGTGAGGACATAAAGAAGGCCATTCCAAGGCCCACGCCACCCCTGCCCTACCCTGGGCCCAGCCCATTCTTCCAGGAGGGGAGAGAAGGACACAAGGGTCAGACCACGAAGGCCCTGGGAATACCCGGGGAGCCCCGAGATCAGTTTGTCCTCTGTTGCCCCTTTACCTTGGCGTGTTTAGTGGGCACTGTGCCGGACTTCCAAGGTGACATGGCATCCATGCCCTTCTCGTTGCTCAACCCAGGAGAGGCCTGTGGGAACCAATCAGCAGGAAAAGGTCAGGAGGCAACATCACTGGGGGACCAGCACCTGTGCTTAGAGACACCACTGCCACCCAGCTGTGAGCCACAAGCCTCCTCTCACACTGACCTCCTGGGCAGTAACCACTACCAACCGGCCTCACTGCACCAGAGAAGGCTGAGGCTGCTATGAGCAAGGGGAACAGCAGATCCCAGGTGGAAACCCGGCTCTGCCTGAGCCAAAGGCCTGAGGTCCCACCTGCTGTCCTCACAGCCCATCCCAAGAGCCAGCATGAAACCCTGTGAGTGAGCCTCTAGGGACCTTTCCAGTCCACCTTAAGCAAGGACCATCACACTAGAGAGGTGACCCCAAAAGGTCAAAAGCTGAAACACATACTCCACACCCCATGCCTGCCTCACACACCGAGGCATGACACACCCCTTCAGGGACCTCACACACCACCTTCTGCACACACACCTCACACACTGCATGTACACACACCCCTGTACATACACCTCACACAGACCCCCACATGCACAACTCCTGCACACATACCTCACACAAAATCCGGCCTCCCAAATGCACACCTCACACACCCACCTCTTGCATGCACACCTCACACCCACCTCCTGCACACACACCTCACACACACCCACCTCCTGCACGCACCTCACACATATCTACCTCCTGCACACACCTCACACACACACCCGCATGCACAACTCATACCCACCTGCACACACCTCACACACACCAGCATGCACACCTTATATCCACCTGTGGCACACACACCTCACACACACCCACTTCCCACATACACACCTCTCCTGCACGCCTCACACCCACCTCCTACATGACACCTCACACACACACCTCCTGCACGCACACCTCATACCCACCTCCCGCACACACACCTCACACACCCACCTGCACGCACACCTCACACCCACCTCCTACATGCACACCTCACACACACACACCTCCTGCATGCACAATACCCACCTGCATGCACACCTTATACCCACCTCTGGCACACACACCTCACACACACCCACCTCCCACATACACACCTCACACACCCCTCCTGCACACACCTCACACCCACCTCCTGCATGCATACCTCACACACCTCCCGCATGCACACCTCATACCCACCTGCACACACACCTCACACACCCACCTCCCGCACACCTCACACCCACCTCCCACACACACCACACCCACCTCCTGCATGCACGCATACCCGCCTCCACGCACACCACACCCACCTCCTGCACACACACCCACCACCTGCACACCTCACACCCACCTCCCACATACCTCCTCCTGCATGCACTTTACACCACCTGCACGCATACCTCACACCCACCCACCTGCACACACACACCTCACACCCCTCCTGCACGCACACCTCACACACCCACCTGCACGCACCTCACACACCTCCTGCACGCACCTCACACCCACCTCCCACATACACACCTCACACACCCCTCCTAAATGCGCACCTCACATCCACCTCCTGAACACGCAATTCACTGCACGCACACCTCACACACACCTGCACGAACACCTCACACACACCTCCTACATGCACACCTCATATCCACCTCCTGCACGCACCTCACACTCACCTGCATGCACACCTCACACCCACCTGCACGCACCTCACACCCACCTCCTACATACACACCACACACACCTACCTCCCACATACACACCTCACACCCACCTCCAGCATGCACACCTCACACCCACCTGCATGCACACCTCACCCACCTGCACGCACCTCACACCCACCTATATGCACCTCACACACCTGCATGCATACCTCACACACACACACTTCCCACATACACACCTCACACCCCTCCTGCCCGCACATCACACCCACCTGCATGCACACCTCACACCGACCTACACGCATACCACACCCACCTGCACACACATATCACACATACCCACCTCCCACATACACCTCACACCCCTGCACGCACACCTCACCCACCTGCACGCACACTTCACACCCACCTCCTGCATGCACACCTCACACCCACCTGCACCCAAACCTGCATGCACCTCACACCCACCTTCAGCATGCACACCTCACACCCACCTGCATGCACACCTCACACCTGCATGCACACCTCACACCCACCTCCCACATACACACCTCACACCCCTCCTGCCCACACTTCACACACCTGCACGCATGCCTCACACACCCACCTCCCACATACACACCTCACACCCCTCCTGCATGCACACTTCACACCCAACTGCACACACCTCCCACCTGCACACACTTCACACCTTCCTGCACGCACCTCACACCCACCTGCATGCACCTCACACGCACCTGCATGCACCTCACACACCCACCTCCTGCACACCTCACCCACCTCCTGCATGCACACCTCACACCTGCATGCACCTCACACCCACCTCCTACATACACACCTCACACCCCTCCTGCCCACACACCTCACACCCACCTGCACACACCTCACACACCCACCTTCTGCATGCACACCTCACACACCCACCTGCACGCACACCTAACATATCTTCCCTGCACACACATCTCACCTACCGCCTGCACACATACCCCGGTGTGCATGCTCCCCACACACACACCTGCAAGGCTACATCTTGCATAGAGCAGCCAGTGCTGCAGTCAGAAGGGAGCAAACAACATTAACTGGAGAGAAGATGCTAGAAAATGTCAATCCATTAGATTGGGCTTTAAAAAGCCCTTCTGACCCACTTAGTAAAGAAAATGAGGAGCGGTCCAGCCTGACACCCATTGGGCTGGAAAAGAGAAGGGGCCGGCTGCACTCACAGTGCAGATGCCGGGGCTCCTGTCAAGTGCCGGGGAGCGAACAGCAGCCCAAAGGCTGGTCCGTCTGCCACAGGCACGGGAGGGACACTGGTGGAGACTGGAAGCATTCTCAATTTCCCACGGTCGTCAGCCAAATGCAACTTCCCTGTGCACCTGACCCCCGCACCTGCGCCACAGCCAGCAGCCCCGCAGAGAAGCTCTGGAACTTGAAGGGGACGTGGGCGGTCTCGTGGGGGCGCAGGTAGAGCTGGGGGGCCAGGTTGCCACGCAGGTGGAACATGTCCTCCTCCACTGGTGTGTGCAGGCCAGCAGCACCCTTCAAGTCTCTCCACTCCTGACTGTCCACGATGACACTGAGGGAGGCAGTGTCCAGGCATCAGGACAGTTCTTCCCAGGAAGGCCCACAGGAAGGTACATCCCACCCACTGAAAGCGGTGCTCAGAGGAGTGGGAGAGAGGAATCAAATCGCCTCGGCTCTCGGGCAGAATTCAAGCCAGCTCAGAAGGGGCGCTGGTGGCACCCAACACAGATCTGGGCTGTGAGGGATGGGGGCACTGCCAGGGCCTCACCTGAGCTCAGGGCTATCTAGAGGGAAATGAGGGCGCTGCCGGGGCCTCACCTAAGCTCAGCTGTCAATCAGGGCAGGGGGACAGGGGCATTGCCAGGGTCTCATCTGAGCTCGGGCTGTCGATCTGTGGGGAATGGGGGCGCTGCCAGGGCCTCACCTGAGCTCGGGGCTGTCAATCTGGGTGGGGCAGGAACACTGCTGGGTCCTCACCTGAGCTCAGGGCTGTTGATCTGGGGTGAGGGGGGCACTGCCAGGGCCTCACCTGAGCTCAGGGCTGTCAATCTGGGGGCGGGGGCACTGCTGGGTCCTCACCTGAGCTCACGGCTGTCAATGTGGGGGCAGGGGGCTGCTGGGGCCTCACCTGAGCTCGGGGTTGTCGATCTCCACAGTCACTGTGTGCTGTGTGTTGTGGGGGTTCTTAAGCACAAACTCGAAGAACTCGGCGACCCCCAGCGTGGCATGAAGTGTGTGCTCCGTGGTGATGGACAGGCTCAGCAGGCTGGCGATGCTCTCGGCCTTTGTGCGTTCCCGGTAGGCAGCAATGACCTGTAGGTCCCGAAAGTGCTGTGTGCGAACACTCTGCTGGGCCTGGGGACAAGAGGACATGGCAGATAGGGTCCAGGCACACCCTGCTCCAGGAGGGGCTATTGCTGGCCGCCCACCACCCACAACACCAGAACAGGACATTTCTCCAGGACCATCCCCTTCCTTGACCACGTGGTCTGTGTGGAACTGGCCGGCCCCACCCAGGCATGGATCTCAGGCAGTGCTGGGCAGAGATCTGCTGACTATGTCCCCGACACGGAGGCTCACACAACACCCCTGCCTGCTCCCGAGAGCCTTCACAGCCACAAGCCTGACCCCCAGCACAGTGCAGAATCAGAAGCAGTGGTTTCAAACAAGAAAAAAAAATGGCCTCAAAACTATGACTGGTGATAGGCCTCACCAGCCAGGTCCCCAGCACAACATCGGGAGCATTGTGTGCTGGGAGACGACATGCCCTAGGCCCGTTGAGTCTCGGTCACACTGGGTCAGAGTCAGGGCAACCAGCATGCTGCCTCAGCAAAGCTCAGCCACCCCCTTGCTCTGATGGTCCAGGGACTCTAAGGGCTTGGCCAGCGCACATGGGTTCTACAGGCTAGAGACTGGCTTGTTTTTCTTGCGGGCCTTACAAGAAAAAGTGAGGCCCACTACAGGCTGCCTTGCAAGATCTAATGCCTGGAAGGGGTCATCCCGAAGCCGGGGAGTCGGCCAGGCTTCAGTGGCTCCAGGAAGCCACTGTAGTTGGGCACTGGGAACCTTCTCTCTAATACAGAAGGGATGGGCTGACTTGAATGCTTTCAGGCTTTAACTCAAAAAGTGAGGACAAAATTTGATTTCTGACTTAAATGACTTTGGATATTCACTTTCCATCATCCAAGGCTTTGGCTGTTCTTTGCAGGGGGATTGGAGCTGGGCCTTTCACACTTGGGGCCTCCATCAGAATTGTATCATCAGAGCTTTTCAGGAGGGGAACCTCTGACAGCCTGTGCTGGACAATGGGGCCAGACGTGAGTTAGGATGAGAAACAGGGCTACGGCTAAGAGCGGCTCCTCAATTCCAAGCTCATGCAGACACAGCCAAGGTCATCCAGGCTGGTGGCCTCCAGAGACCATAGCTTTAAGCCCTGCCTGTTGTGAGGAAGGGAGGGAGGGAGAGAATAAAGGGAGGGAGGGACGCCTCTGTTGAGACCCCGGCCTGCCTGCATGGGAGGGGAATCTCAGGAGATCTTTCTCAAGGCCCTGTGGTTCCTATCTTCTCCGAGCCCAGGAGGTACAACCATTCTCACCTCCCATTTCTTAGTTGCAAAGTATTAAAAGTTTTATTTAGATTTTCAGCCAAAAAGGGGGATTTTTCTAGCCAGAATGATTACACTGATAACCCTAGATATGTCAGCTGCTCACAGCTCTGGTCCCCAGACCCCAGGGCGCCTCAGAATCACCTGCAAATCTTTCTTCAAACCCAGGCTCCAGGGATCCTGCCCAAACCAATCGGTATTAGAATCTCCAGGGGTGACGCCCAAGAACTGGCTTTTGTTAAAAGCTCTCCAGATAATTCTCACTTAAAGATTTCCCCTGGTGGCTGAAAAAGCCTGATGTTCTTATTATCTTGTCACTAGGACTTGGGAGGAAGTTAAGAAAGCAACCATGTGGGAGGCAGGGAGAGACGTGCACAGTGACTCGGTATGCATGGAGACCCCTGGGAGAGCGACAGCGGAGAAACCCTCACCAGCACGCTGGTCCCACGCCGGCCCGATGCTCCCCCGGCCTCCTTCAGACGCACAGACCTCATCCGCTCCAGCTTGCGCCTGCGGGTGGCATCCACCTCACGGCCGATGTCCTGGGGCCCCTTGCCACCCTGGGCATGGGTCAGCAGCATGGCAGCCAGTTCACTGTCCAATTCCGCCAGCTTCTGTGCTTGCACCACCCGCTTTCCTGCGAAAGGGTCAGAGCGGGAGCCGGGTGGACGTGCAGTGTCTACTTCCAGCAGCAGACACAGAAGCAGGCTTCCCAGGACCACCTCCAGGGAGGGAGCTCAAGAGCACAGCTCATGCTTTTGCAGTTCTGAGACTCGGAAAAAGACGGTAACTTTACATCCTGGTTTCCACAGCATCCCCTCCCTTCCCCAGCCTCCAAATTAAAAGGCATTCTGACTTTGGTCCTTAGATCCAAAGCAATCAACAAACCACCAGGGGATTTTCTAGGGGAAGAAGGCCATGTTCTAGAAGGTCACGCTCTCAGATCTTCAAGGGCCCACTAATGCCTTCACCCAGGGCTCTCGGCCTCAGCCCCTCAGATCAACAATGGGGGGTAATGGGTTGCCCCATTGGCAGGAGGCCTCCAGCTAGTAGGGGGTGAGGGATGACGCTCAGAGCAGGCCTGGCCCTCAAGCTCCTGCTCTCAACTCAGCCCACCTCCTTTGGGATGGCCCTACTCAAGCCAGGACACACAATGAGAGTCAGTCAGCAAACCAACAGAAGCTGAACAGGGTCAAGCAGTGGCAGACAAAGGCATGGCCACTACTGCATAGGCCAGGCCCTTCCTTCTAATACAGAGCAGGAGCTCAGGGTGTCAGGTGGGACTGTGCTGAGTGACAAGGCCATGCCACACGCTGACACATGAGACTCCCAGACAATCGCTCAGCCCAGCATAGAAAGGGCAGCTGAGAGGCGCCCCAGCTTAGGGCCTGGGTACTTCCTCACTCCCTGGCACCAGCAGAAACTTCCCACAGAAAGCCAACACCAGCCCGAGCTCTCCCAGCCTGGTTCTACTCCCACGGGCGTTGGCAGCCCCTTGCAGAAGTCTCCACACAGTGGGAAGCGATGGCCCCCGACTCCTTCTCACAAGGAAACAGGTGCCATCGTCAAGTCCCCCCATCATTCAGTTTTAAAGGCAGCAAACTGCTTCACAGAGGCGAGCGGCTCTTTCAAGTCTCAGGCACAGGCTTGGTCTGCGCTCCCTGCAGCCATGGCATGAGAGGAGGGACCTGGGACCTGGGCAGGTGGGGGGTTATCGTGAGCTCAAGTTTTCAGATTGCATCACCCCAACAAATACTTCGTGGTCCCTATGAAGCCAGAAATGAAGTTACAGAGTGACTGGTGAGACTGCACTTGGAGCAAGGCACAAAGCACTGAGAACCTTTTAAAATATCATGCAACTTGCTGATTCTGGAGCCCTGCCCTTGGGTGAGACGTGTGTTTTAAGGGACACCTCCTGTCCTGCTTCTGAGCAATACAGGGTCTGGAGGATTGCTGACTCTAGGGCCTCTGATCTCTCAGCAAGCCCTTCTGGGTTCCTGCTCCCTGACAGCTGAGCCCCTGACCTGCTGCACCAGGAAGCAGGGTTCATGAATAACCTCAGCTGAGCTCCTGGAGCTCAAGGACTTCTCTCTATGGAGCTGGCTCTCCTACATACTCTAGCTGGGTCTGCGGGACCAGCTGAGGATGAAGGGCACTGACCGCAGGGCAGGGAATCGAGATTCTAAGCCACGTTCACCCCTTAGCCACCACACTGGCCAAGCTGCCTGATCTCTCTTCATCTCACTTTCCTCAACATTACAATGAGGAAGCTGGCCAGAACAGACTCCACTCAGCCTGGATCATGAATCCCTCTGAGCCCCTCAGGTCCCTCCCAGGGAGAACGTACAAAGTTTACCCACAGTGTCAGGGGCCTTGTAGGATCCTGGAAGCCTTGCAGAATGGAACCCAAAGGCCCCTCCCACCTCTAACCAGCCACAGTTCCAAGACCCAGCAACACACAAAGCTCCCGGCAGCTCTGAATTCAGACAAGCTGATCTGCAGCCTCTGGGGAGCGTGCTCCTTAAAGAGCACTTCCCACGTGTAGTTGAAATGACAAGTACTTTCTATGCAGCTCTGTGAGGCCTGACATTTCAAGGGGATAGAAAAACTTCAGAGCTTCCCTGCTGTGAAACACATTTTCACCAAACCCAGGTCTTTCCCTCTCAAAACCAGGTCTTTCTTTCCCACACTATATATTTGGCTTATTTCTTCTGTTCACAACATGGGGGACTTGTTTTAAAAATCCCTCTGTGTTCATCCTGACCTTCTATTTCTTCTTCCCTTGCAGATGGGCAGCCAGCCGGACACTGACGCCACTGGCAGGGTTCCCACTTCTCTAAACAGCACAGTCGCCTGCAGAACCCAGCCCAGAGTGCCAGGGTGTGATCAGTGCGGTGGCTCAGGGGGGCCTGCAGGTCCATAGGAGCATCTAGCCAGGGCACCGAGCCACACATGGACAGCACAGTTGGTCCCGCCCAGGCGCAGAGGGACACTGACAGCACCGTAAACAGTGCACACACCCACACACACGTGCACATGCACACACACATGCAGCCTTCCACCTCTCACATGCCACTCACAACCCACTCAAACATGTGCCCAACAGTGTCGACTCACGCCTTGAGCTTCCACTAGTGAGGAGGCTGCCTCCAGGGAAGCGGCTGGATCCATCGTTTGAGATGACCCGAGACCTGGACGGTGGCAATGTGCTAGCATCTCTCACTTTCTGTTCACATAGGTGACCTAAACGAAAAAATCCCAATGTAAGACACTAACCCCAAACAAGAATCTGATGAAACAGACAACCCACCACATAAGCGGTTCTGGCTTTCAAACGGCCCATCTACACCCTAACATGCTAAGGTCCCACCACCTGTTTTGAATGTTTTGCAACTGACAGACAAAGGTGGGAGCTGGTTCTGCTGTGAACCTTCATCTCTAAATCTTCATTCTCTGCCGTGTCAGAGGCAGCCTCTGTTTCCTGGCGACGAATGAAACTGTGTGGTGCTCACAGTTTGCCTGCACTTCTGGATCTCTGGGTCACAAGGTGGGCTGCCTCACAAACCAACCTTGGCCTCTTGACGGCCGCATTCTTCAAGGAGAGGCCTATGCGCACTCACACGTGCAAACGTTTGACTCCACACACACCCCGGAGTGTGAGAGCCCCCCACAAATCGGAGCCTTCACCAGAGTTGTGTTCATAACAGAAGCCTTTGGAGAGCCACTGGTGTGGCCTTGGGACAAGTGTGTCCAAAGAAGACACGTGGCCAGTGGGTGTGGCGCCACTCAAACCTGCAAATGTGAGTATCCTGGAGGAAGCCAAGCTTGCCCAAGGCGGGCTCTTCTGAGAGGATGGGACCCACAACCTCGGTGTGGCTTTACCTCCCCAAGGGGTGAGGCAGAGCACTGCCAACAAAGTGCTGTCCCAAAATGAACCACCCAAGGTATGTGCAAATTCTTGTGCCATCAATTTCCTCAATTCCAATGAGGCAGCGTTGCGTGCCCTCATTGTTCTCATCATCTTCCTGGGACCTGTTAAAAGTGGGAACCAGCTGGGTGCGGTGGCTCACAGACATCAGCACAAAGTATGGGAAGGCTGGCTGCCTCCTCCCACACCCCAGTTGGCAACCAGAAAGGCCAGTGGCATATATACCCAGCCATCTCTTTTCAGGGGAATTGCATTCTTGCCGATGTCCCAGTAGCTGTCACCCGCCTCTCACCTCCTGTTCTTTCTCCTTGAACTGCATGTCAGCACCATGCTGTGCAGCAGCACAGCGATGCTGACCTCCCTGTCACCTCAGGTCCCTGCTACACCCCCATAAGGATGCAGCCTCTGCTTCCCCCACATGCCCTGTGCTGTCCTTCCGCCTTGGACTACCAACCGCCACCCAGCTCCCACAGCGTCCGCTCCAGCCTTACTCCGAGCCAGCTTCCTGAGAGTGGGCACCTGGAAGGAGGGCTGTTTCAGTCTTCTCCCTGTTGCTCTGGGACCCTCTCTCCTGCGCTGACCTTCCAGGGCTACCTCTGCTCCCACACGCTTTGCAGGGGTATCCAGCTTCCCTTCAAGTTAAAGCCCGCCCCCTAACCCCCTGGCAGAGGCTCTGCCTCTGCTGGAACACACTCCTCTCCAGTAGTGCCAGGAATCCGTTTTTGCCTCTGACAGTTCATGGTCACAGGATCAAGATCCTCATCCCTAAGAAAGGAGCCCAGATCAGTGCTCCTTCGCACGAACAGATGTTCCCCTCCCATGGCTGTGTCTTCTGAAACCCAAGGAGAACAGGGCTCCAGGGTGAGAAGCTTTCATCAATCAATGCTTCCATCCATCTCTCCACCATGTGCCAGGTACAAGGGCAAACCCCACCACAAAGAAGGCATGGTCAGGGTCCTCAGGACTTCCCAGATTCATGTGGGAAAACAGCAGACAAACAAGCAGGCCAGGGCAGGGAAGGGATGGCAGCCTAAACTGGCCCAGCCCGCCCACACCAGGGCCAGAGCTGCAGGTACTGGCATTGATGCTCACACTTCAGCCATGCTGCCCTCCACATGACAGGAGAAAGTGCCACTGGCCCCAAAGCCTCAGTTTCCCACCCACAAGCTGAGTCATCCCAGCTTCTTGCTGTGTTTCTTCCCATGGGAATTCTTGGCAGGGGCAGCAGCTCATGGGCTGGCGGTCCTGGCAAGCTTTCTGTCATGTCCTGAGGACCTGCTCCAAGAAAGAGGGGCCTCCCAGGCGCCCAGCACCTCCATTCACTGTGGGCGGCAGTGGGTTCATCCCACACCCAGGGACAGCCTAGAATGTTCCGAAGCTTTCTTGACCACCTTCATCTGATAGCAAGTGGTTCTCTGAATCGCAGACAAGAAGGCCCCTGGTCCACCCACATCTGACCAAAGTGAGCACCGGCCTATTTTAAGCCTGTACTATGCACCACCCCAAGAAGTACTAAGAGATCATGGAAAGTATTGCAAGGTCAAGCCGGGTCCAGATGGCTCTAGGGGCAGGCAAGCAGCATTCTTGGAGCTCAGGTTTGCAGGACGCCTAATGATGACAATGGCTGCAGCAGGTGAGACCACAGGACCCCATGGGACACCTTATGGACATGGAACACTGCTGGGTTTCATGACCATTTCCTCTTACTGTATTTATACTTAGCACACGTGGGAAAATAAATGGGGTAAACTCAATTTACACTTGCGTGCTCACTCAAGAAGGGGACGAGTGGAGCTCCCAGCCGAACCCCGTCCTACTCCACATCCAAGATCACTGGGATTAAAGAAAGCAATCTGATGCTTGCAGTCCCTGGATGACAAAAGCTAACCAAAAGTGCAAAGAGGACGCCAAGGAAGGCAGCAAGCAGGCCTGCATGGAGTGGTCACCAAGCACTAGGGCCATCCTCTCCCCACCATCACAGTGCCAGGGCCCTGGACCCAGCTGGCAGACTATCCCCAGCCTGTCCCCAGCCATGGCACAGGCTTCCTCGAGTGGCCTCAGACAGGAACACACACTGTGAATGCAGCCAGCCCAGAGCAGAATCCAGGCCAAGGCCAAGGCTCCAACCCGCTTGGTCACCCTGCAGGCCGGCACCCACGCTGCTGGCAGACAGAAGCCTGCTATACCACAAATGAGCCAGTTTTATGAAGAAAGAAAAGCCATAACATCTTTTTTTCCAAAAAATGCAGAACTGACGGAGGAGAGCCAGGCTGGCTGCACTGATGCACAGAGTGCTGCGGGTGGCATTTGTCCTTTGTTAAAACCTCTCCCTCTCCATCGGTGCCGGAGTCTCCCAAGCTGGCTATCTCAGCCTCCCTTTCCCATGAGCTTATCTCTCTCTTGCAGGCAAAGTACGAAAATGACAATTTGAGATAACATATAATGGAGCCAATCTTTCTTCTGAAGATAAGATTTTAAAACCTGGAGTCACTGCACATTTGTGGGCTGGAGAATTAAATATAAAAACAAGCAGTGCAGTCTCGGAGCAGAACGAACCCTGCAACTCCCTCAGCTGCATGAGCCTTTGAATAATGCCTGCTTCTCGCATGTGGCTCATTTATTTTTCCAGAACCTAATTGAGTTTTGCTGTGTCCATACTGTCTCTTTTGTAGGCCTCCTCGGATCTACATTTGTAAACAGTCAGGCAGAGCCTCCAACTGACTAAGGAGCTGTGCACTTGTGCCCCTCCGCCCCCCGCCCCCTGCCCCCGCCCCCTGCCCCCGCCCCCCGGCCTCTGCGCTGCCAGCACCGGGTGGATGTGGCCCGTGGGGCTCTGGGGTTTACAATCAGGCTGGGTTCTGAGGAGTGGAAAATTCCCTAATAAAATAGCAGAGAAGTCTGAGTCTCACGCAGACAGACACAGCTCCAGAAACATCACATGGCTTAGTTGTGTGGTGCTTTCAGTGCTGCCCTGAAAAATCCCAAATGTTCCAGAGGACCCTCGGGAGGTTCAGTGAGCTTGTCACTGGCCCTGCAGGGTCCCATGCCAGTCCTCTGCCCTGAGGCGTGCACAGGCAGGCACCACCGGCCTTGTGTCCCCTGACGTCCCATCAGCAGCCCCTGTCCCAGCAGAGGCCTCAGTCGAAGCCCCAGGAACATCCCAGGCGGGACCCTCCTGAGCCGTCCAACCCACGTGTCCCCTCCACCACAGTCCTGGATGTGGAGTAAAGTCCAGGGCTTTCTTAGTCTCTCTAAAAAGCAATTCCGGGGCAAGATTTGCTACCAAGTCGCGGTGCTGGGTCGAGAAGAAGTACGTCTCTCCATTCTCCTCCTCCCGGGCTGCAGGGAAGTTAGGAACACTCCCCTAGTCTGTCCTCCATGAGGCACAGGGAGGTCTCTCCTGGAACCCGGTCACTGTATCTGAGGACTGCTCAGAGACCATCCAGGGACAGCACCACACAAAGCAATGCAGGAGAGCGTTGAGAGGACTGACGGCCTTAAACCCCGTGAGAAATGCAGAACGCAAACAACTGGCTCCAGGACAGACTCAGCAGCCGAGGACACAGGCTCCATGACCAGGCTGCTAAGAATTCTGCCGGTTTCCTCCTGGGCCTGTGACGCCCATGATGTGGCCCCTGCCTGAGGGAGCCCACACTACCAGAGAAACAGCGCAATGCTGGGCAAAGCTGGCGGGGATTCTTACCCACATTGGCCAAGGTCAGGTACAGCCGGCCCTTCACCACTGAGTGGACACCGATGGGCTTGACGCGGCCAAACCCCAGCACGTCTCCACTCACCACCACGGTGTCCTGCTCGTATTCAGTCGCCACAACCTCAAGCTCGTGGGAGGCTTGCACAGCCGGCCGGCCTTGGCGGAGGAGATGCTGCAGGGGAGAAAGGTGCGCTCAGAGGCTGGAGCCGGCCCAGGCTGCTTCCATGGCCCCTGCAGGTGGAGGCTGCTCCCATGACCCCTGCAGGTGGAGGCTGCTCCCCAACACTCCGGGAAAGCCACTGTGGGTGGGAGGCGGTGGGCAAAGCAGGACAGACCTGCATCACATGGGGGCAGCAGGGCAGCGAGCCAGGGGCCTGTGTCTCAAAGCAGGAGTCCTTATTACTGGGGTCTTTTTCACAGTCTTACATAAAGTACAACTGATTGACCCACTGAATAAACATCACTGGGCCCCGGGAACATATAAGTGGTTCTGGCATCTGCCCTGAAGGAGCCTCCGCTCCAAGAGAAGAAGACAGGAAGGAGGCCAAGCAGACAACGCAGAGGTCTCCAAGCTGAGCCATGTCTGGGGCAGTGAGGAATCCAGGACGGAAACCTGAAGGAGACTCCAGGAGGAAAATGGGCCACGCACAGAGAGGGCAGGGGAGGCAGAGAGGGCCGGGAGGCAGAGAGGGCAGGGGAGGCAGAGAGGGCTGGGAGGTAGAGAAGGCTGGGAGGCAGACCAGGCCAAGGGCACAGGGTACAATGCCCCCCTAACCTCCCTGGGCCAGGGAGCAGGCTGGGGTAGGGCCTGTGGGGCCCAGGGAGGGGCTGTAGGGCATGAGGGGCCTGAGGGTGAGGCCCAGGGTGAGGATCTATACGCCAGGCCAAGGCTGCTTGGGGAATGGGGGGAGCTGGAAGCCTCAGACCCAGCAGGGCCTCAGCAGGACTTTCCTGACCACAGGCTCTTCTGCTGATCAGATTCAACCCCTCAATCCTCTGCCTGAACCCCAACGCTACAAGGGGTGTGGGGGACAAAAACAGCCTCCCGGTGGCACCCCAGGCCTGGCTGGCACTCTTCCCCATGTGCACTCCCTGCACTGGCATTCCCTCTCACATAAGCAGCAGTGTGGGAGCGGATGAGATTTCAGATTTTGCAATTCTCCAACTTCTACAGCAGCAAAATTGCCCATCTCTGGGAGTGAGACGCCCAGACCTGACCCTTCCCTTGTGGGTCTGGGGGCTTCGGTCGCCGCAGACCCTGCTCGCTCTATCACACTCGTCTACACTGCATACATTCACTGCATAGACATTAATGGTTCAAGAACCTCAGTCACTGGGAGACAGATGTGAGAAGACGCCTTTGGAGAATGGCCAACAAATACAAGGAGCCACGTCATCCCTCCAGTAGGCGAGGAAACGCCAGTGAAAACAAAGCACCATCTCTCCCAAATCATTATCAAAACAGCCAATGGCGACTGGTTTAAAGGCTGATGCCCCATGAAGCTGAGGGCATGGGATGTTGTGCCTTCTGTCTGCAGAAAATGCAGGCCTGGCTGAGCCTTTGGGCCAAGCCCCCACCTGGCTCTGCACACCTGCGGGGTCATTGGCATCATCAGAATTCTTCCAGGAACATGACATCTGCGGAGAAGAGGATGGTAAAGAGCACAAGTTCCGGAGACAGAATTAGGCTAAAACTCTGCCCTCCTTATCATCAGCGTGACCCTGGGCCTCTGTTTTCTCCATCAGAAAATAGGATAAAAACACAACTGCCCCAGGGCTGGGCTGAGGGTCACACTGCAGGCAGCTTAGGAGTCATCCATCCCTGGAGGAAACTTATCACCACAGCAACGTGTTCTAGCCAGCACCCCCAGGAAATCAGCTGGAAGATGGGGGTAGAACTGAACTTCAAGAGGTCCACAGCAGTGAGTGGCAGAAGGAAAAGCCACCATAACGTCCCCCAACAGGAAGAGCTGAAACAAGATGAGAGCTGGCCCCGCGTGCAAAAACAGCCCACCAACGGCGAGCCAGGGCATCCCAACTCTCCCAGGATCTCAAGGCAAGAGGGTTCTCTCTGATTATCTCAGTTTTTCATGTTTTCCACCTAAGTTTTAAAGTTAAAAGACTTCATTTTAGAAAAGTAAAGCTTTAAAACTTATTGAAGTCTATGTCAACAAGTTAACAGCACTTGTGTAAGGGGCTATCCGTGGAGAAGCGGATGAGATGGCTTTGGTCTCCAGGTGGGACAGCAAACAAGAGGCACAAGGCTTGGCTGGGCATGATGGGGGAGCCATTGCTTCCACACACGTGCCCAGCGGGACCCAGCTCTGCCTCCCGTTCCGCCTGCCTCCCACTCCTCCCCACCATGCAGTACCTGCTGGGGCTGAGGCCTGTGCTAGAAGAGAGACGCTGTGGTGTCAATACCCTGTCCCTGCCCTGGAGACATCAAGGCCAGGGTGGGAGACAGACAAGCAATGGCCACAATGACCCCGTGGGGCCCATGCCATGACCCTCATGGGAACAGAGGCCCAGGGTGAGGCATGAGAAGGGCAGTCAAGCCTCGCGGGGTCCCTTGCACCTGCAGACCACACCCTGAACTTCTGTGTACCGCCTACCACCCTGGGGAGCTGTGAGCAGACCATACCCCAGAGGAAGAGCAGCTGGAAGAAACCCCACACCTCCACACCCAGCATCCCAAGAACAGAGCAAGGCTGAAGAAGCAGAGGAGCTGGGCTTCTCAGGAGTCAGCAGCTGCTGGAGCAGATGAGGCTAAGACAGGAAGCCCCGGGTTCCGCCGTGTCAGGAATGCAGGAGGAAAGAGCTACGCAGCACTCAGGGGAAGCAGGGAAGTCTCAGACTCTGGCCTGCGATGATGGTGCCACATCCCCACCCAGCTCCACCCTGTGGCCTGAGAGGAGAAGTCTCAGGACACTACAGTAGCTCGTGGAACTGGCCCCAGTCCTTGGCCCAAAAGTTATTATGGGGTCCCCTTCATACAGTAGAGAAGCTTGGGCAGAATCCCAGGGAAGACGAGTGAACGAATCCATGGATTTAGGTTTTAGTATGCAAGAACAGAAAAGCACAATTAGTAAAAGAGATCGAATTGTAATAGAACGAGAAAGGCACAACGCATGTCACGATCTTAGGAATCAGCTAAAACACACTGCACGCCCGGTCACTCGCATCTTCCCTCCTTCACCTGAACCTACCTCAGATGCACCTGCCCTCGCCACATTCACCACGTGGAAGGAGCTGAAGTGACACTGCCTGGCAGGTCAGTTTGCAGGAGAAATAGATAACTGAGTTTGATCTTAAGGATTTCCTGAGCAAACAACTAGCATTATAGAATTCAGACAGTGAAAAATCTTTTCCTTTCCAGAAGCAGAGAATGCAGCACTATTTTTAATTAGTGAACGGAGAAGGCCAACCAGGTCCTGCATGGGACAGTGCCTGCTCCTACCAAGCAAGCAGACCCTGAAAGAGTGACTTGTCCCGTAAGGGTCGCAGCACCCACTGTCCTTCAGGAGAGCCGCTACCTTCATGTGGACGGCGGCAGAGCCGATGAGCAGCAGGGAGTCTCCGTCCCAGACATCGATCTGCAGGGTCTGCAAGGCCAGGTAGCGGGTGAAGTGGCGCCGCTCGCCAGGCTTCAGGAACCCAGGGCCCACCATGTACCTCAGCTGGAAGCCAGGAGGCCCTGAAAAAGAGGCCCAAAGGAGGCCAAAAGTAACTAGAGTCATTCATCATCTTTCTACTTGGAAGAGACTTTGGCTCTGGTCATGATTACTAATTTCTGCTTCTGTCATAGCTATAGTTAATAAACACATTAATCAAAAACATCATAAAATATCCAAATTAACAGAATGAAGAGTCATGTTCAGAAGACTACATTTCTTTCCCATATAAACAATAAACTCTTCCCCAAACAAGATTTATGGTTTCACCAAGTCGTTGTAACAGCCTATGATGGATGGGAGCAAATGTCCTTATGAGGCTGGCTGGGGAGTTCATTATTCTGGGCACGCAGAATTTAAGAAGAAACATAGTCTACATCTGCTGCCAAAACTGGCATGCTCACACACACAGGTGGAGCTCCAGCCGAGGTCAGGCTGCGAAGCCATTGCGGGACACCCACAGCCCCTCTCCTGCCCTAACGCAGGATGGCCCCTGCCCCACCAGTATCCCAGGCTCCTCCTGTGGGGTCTGCCCAGGCCATCAGGCTAAGAGATGGGACTGGACTATGGCCCCTGCCTTCATCTTCTTGAAGTGGCGTTATCATTAATTCTAAATTGACAAAAATGCCATTGGAACCATCCTTAAAGTTCAAGGAAGAGCAGTGCTGGGAAGCATTTCAAAACAACATTTATTTCTCTTCCTATTGATAATGGTGACAACATTCCTGCAGTCCCCAACAAGCAGAGGAAGGAGCAAGTGTTTCCTCATCATCTCCAATACCAGGCCCTGGGCCAGGCTGAAGTCTGGCCACAGGTCCTCTCCACCCAGGCTCCAGCCACCTCAAGCCCCACGGGATGACCACAGACCACACCCCATCTGCTTTTCTCAAGACCAGGGGACAAGGAGTGAGTGCCATGTGTCAGGGCAGGGGACCAAGGGGGAGTGAAGAGTGCAGAGCCCAGGGTGAGCCCCAGCTCAGGGAGGTGGAGCAGGGCCCACTGCTCAGGCCTGGCACTGGCCACAGCAGGAGGTCACGGGGGCATCTGGGACAGAAAGGGAAGTAAAGAATATGGACAAAGATCAAGAAGGAGCTGGCGATTAACATTACTCAAGGGCAGGCACCTCAGAGGTGACCAGCCACACAGCCCCCACCCCTGCCCTGGTCCCACCTATCCTGGACCGTGGTAACTAGTCAGAGCTCAGGACACACCCACGCACAGATGCCAGCCCCGTGGCACTCCTCACAGGGGCAACAGGCCCTGGAACAAAGACCCATGAGCACCAAAGCCTGGCTCAGGGCACGAACTGCACTGACCTGGGCTGCAGAGGAAGGAGGGGCCAGGCCCTCCCTCCATTACCCACCAGGCCTTTGCAGGCCAACTCTGCACCCCCACCTCAGCCTCTCCCATGCCACAGACCCTCCTAGAGTTCTAGGCACATCCTGAACACAGCTTGACCCAATAGGACCCGCTGTCTTGTCTCCCAGGGAGCTCCTTCCAACACCCCACTGGGCCAGCCCCTGCTCCATCCCCACTATATCCCAGCACTTCCAGGGCCTTTCAATGCTACCACTAATCCACTCACTCAGCAAACAAACAACTGCATCCCTGACCATCCCCGCCACATTCAGGGCCCTGCATGGGGTAATGCTGGGAGAACTGAATAAGCAGGGCCCCACCCTTAAGGAGCACAGGGTCTCAAGGACAGAGATACCCTGAACCCAGAACTGACAGTGTGCTGAGAGCTCCTGAGTGGGGAGGGGCATCCCAGGCACGGGGCCATCCTGATCTGGGCACCTCTGACCAGCCTCCCAACTGTCCCCACCACAGCCTCAGGCCTCTCCCCTCCCTGTCCAGCTGAGACAAAAGGCTCCACCTCTGAGGTCCAAGCTCCTCATGATCCACCCTGTGTTGTTTCTACCCCACTCAGAAGTCCGGGAAGCTGGCCTCCACCTCAACTAAGACTCCCAGCGGCAATGGCACTGTCCTCCCCAATCCCACCTCTTGCACCCCCTTCACAAAAACCACACTACAGCCCAGGTGGAATCCTCACTGCTCTGGGATTGAGGAAACGGAAAACACAGTAATGGTAGAAACTAACCACTCTCCTTTCAAAGGCAGATCTAGGCAACGATGAGTGAGTAACAACCTAGAAGACCAGAGTAGCTAACTCCCACGGTGGCACAGGCGGGCAGCGCAGCAATCGATCTTAATGCGGCACCCCAATGGCAGAGAAAACAACTTTTCAAGTGTATTTGGAACATTAATAAAAACTAACCATATATTAGGTCACAAAACAACTACACTCCATAAAGGAGAAATAATAAAAATAATAATCTCTGAACATAATGCAATAAACTAGAAATTAATACACCAGCCTGGGCAACATGGTGAATGAAACCCCATCTCTACAAAACATATAAAAATAAGCCAGGCATGATGTGGACACCTGTAGCCCCAGCCACCCGTGAGGCTGAGGCCGATCATTTGAACTCAGGAGGTGGAGGCTGCAGTGAGCTGAGACAGTGTCACTGCGCTCCAGCATGGGGTACAGAGCAAGACCTAGTCAAAACAAAAAAAAAAATTACTTTTGTTTTTTTTTAAATAAATTCGGAGGAAGATCTGGAAGGCTGCATGCAGCGTGAGTCTGACCCTGCGCAACGACGGAAACCTCAGTGACAGGCGCTTGCGGAGAAGCAATGGCGGCAATGGCAGCTGCGGAAGGCTCCTCGGGCCCGGCAGGCTTGACTCCGGGCCAGAACGTCTCCAACTACCAGCCTTCCAGCCCCAGGCATGGGGCCTCAGCCCAAGCTGACAGCTGATGGGCTTCTCTAGCATGAAGGGCTGAGGCTGCAAGGTCCCGCAGGAGACACTGCTCAAACTCCTGGCAGGACTGACCCGGCCAGACGTGCGGCCCCCACTGGGCCGGGGCCTGGTGGGTTGTCAGGAAGAGGCGTTGCAGGAAACCGGAGTGGGCCCCAGCCCCACTTTTCCAGCCCTGGGCATTGGGATGGACTCCTGCATCAACCCCCTGAGGCATGGGGGCGTCACTGGTACAGACCACGGACTTCTTTTACCCCTTGGTGGAAGATCCCTACGTGATGGGGCGCATAGCTTGTGCCAACGTGCTGAGTAACCGCTACACCATGGGCATTACTGAGTGTGACAACATGTTGATGTCACTCAGCGTCAGCCAGAGTATGAGTGAGGAGGAACGCAAAAAGGTAACGCCACTCATGGTCAAAGGCTTTCGGGATGCGGCTGAGGAAGGAAGGACTGCAGTGACTGGTGGGCAAACTGTGGTCAATCCTTGGATTATAATCGGTGGAGTTGCCACTGTGGTATGCCAGCCAAATGAATTCATAATGCCCGATAGCGCAGTGGCTGCAGATGTGTTGGTGTTAACCAAACTGTTAGGAACCCAGGTTGCTGTCAATGCCCACCAATGGCTGGATAATCCTGAAAGATGGAATGAAGTAAAGATGGTGATCTCCAGAGAAGAGGTGGAGCTGGCGTATCAGGAAGCCATGTTCAATATGGCTACGCTCAACAGAACTGCTGCAGGTTTAATGCACACATTTAATGCCCATGTGGCCACAAATATCACAGGCTTTGGCATTCTAGGACACTCCCAGAACCTTGTGAAACAACACAGAAACAAAGTGTCCTTTGTTATTCATCATCTGCCAATAATTGCCAAGATGGCTGCCATCAGCAAGGCCAGTGGACGGTTTGGGCTTCTTCAAGGAACCTCAGCTGAAACCTCTGGAGGATTACTGATTTGTCTGCCTAGAGAACAGGCGGCTCACTTTTGTTCTGAAATCAAATCCTTCAAGTATGGAGAGGGTCACCAAACATGGATCACCGGCATTGTGGAAAAGGGAAACCGAACGGCCCGGATTTTTGACAAGCTGTGAGTTATTGAAGTACTACCTTGTGGAGCCACAGCTGCTGCTCTTGCTCCTGACAATTCAAATGCCTCCTCTGAGCCTTGCTCGTGAGATGAAAGAACAGACGCTGTTTGGACCGCAGAGCTGTTGTACACAATTACGGATGGTTCTCAAGAGTTGATTTTAAGACATTTCCAAAGAAGGCTGCTCTTTCTAGGTGATTGGAATCAGCCCATCAGAAGCAGCCTTTATGTACATTCCAAAGCCAGAGTAACATTTTGAACTTTGTGGAGGATGTTTGTTCATGCTTGGGTAGAGGAGGAGCAGAAATACCTCTGTTTTCTCTTTCCAAAGTAAGATGAGGCTATTCCAGGTTGAGGGATTTTTTTTTTGCACTGAGTTGATTAATTTCTGCACAGGGATTGAGATGATTTATTAAAACCACACGCAAATTGTAAAATGAAAAAATTTACGACAGAAGCAAATGAGTTTTGGACCAATACTGTTGATAAATCTAAATTGTTAAGAGAGATCTTATAACGCAACCTCAAATTCTTTTAGACTTTACTGAGTACTGGCTCTTTCCTGCTCTGGACAAGAATTGAGCAGCTTGTCATGACTGGGAAAGGAGGACCTGCAACCATCTGGCTTGGTCTCTGTCAATGACTGACGTCTCTCCCTCCAAACCCCATTAAGGACTGGGAGAGGCAGAGCAAGCCTCAGAGCCCAGGCCTTGGTGGTTATTAAGATGTTAAGTTGTTTGCTGCAAATTTCAGTGATTTGATCAATAAAGAGTAATTTCTTCCTAAATATATAAAACCCTTCTGGCTAAAAAAAAAATAATTAAAATTAAAAAAAAATAATAAATTGGCAACTTACTCATAAATAACTTTCTGTCAAAGGGCAAACACAACCAAAAAAGATTTTCTAGAAAAAACAATAATAATGAAAACACTACTCATCAGTATCAACAGTCATAAGGCAGTAATCACAGGAAAATTCGTAGCCTTGAATCCTGCATATCCATACAAAAGAATTCAGATAAATGAATTAAGCAGCTCAAAAAAAATTAGGAAAATAGTAAAGAACACCAAAAATTAAGGAGAAAAGAGGAAATAGTAAACACAAAATTTCATCAATTAGAAAACAAAAAAATAGCAAAAGCCATATGACACAAACTTTAAAACTCTTCAGAAAGGTGCACAGTAGAAACGAACACATGGAAAGGCAGCCTCATCCCTGGACCCTAATCTCCTAGGGGTTAGGTGTGAATTCTCCCCGTGCTAATCTATAATGTGATGGAATCCCCACAAAGATCCTAAAAAGTCCTTATGGAAAACTTAATAAGCAAGAGTACCCAGGAAAACCCTGAAAGGGAGATCAAGGTGGTGGGAGCTCTGCTTGCTAGAAATCTAGACAATGAAGGAGCCTCTGACTGAAGGCGCGATCGCTGTGACACAGACGCAGCCCCATGCGGAGGACGCACACTGCAGCCCCAGGCCAAGCTCAGCAGTGAGATCAGAAATGGTTTTTATGATTCTGACGAGTTGTAAACTAAAAGAAGAATATGAGACAGAGACCACAAGTGGCCCAGAAAGCCTCAAATATTAACTAGCTGGCCCTTAACACAAAACAGTTTGGGCCGAGTCTAATGGAACAAATTAGAATATCTAGAAATAGCCCCCAGTGCGTGGAAAAGGCTGGTACATGATGAGGGTGGCTCTCAAGTCACCGGAAGAAAGACGGAGTTTTGTTAACAGGCATGGGGGCCGCTGGATAGACACAGGAGACGAGGTAAAACTGGATCTGCGCTTCCCCTCACACAGTAGGAGAAACTGCTAATAGATCAGATATCTAAACATAAAACCTGCAAGTCCAAGAACACAAGCCTACATCGCTCTGTAAAGCAGGAGAGGAGAAAGACTTTCTGTCTATGACTCAAAAATTTAGAAGCAAGGACCAGGCATGGTGGCTCATGCCTGTAATCCTAGCACTTTGAGAGGCCAAGGCGGGCAAATCACAAGGTCAGGAGTTCAAGACCAGCTTGGCCAACATGGTGAAAACCCGTCTCTACTAAAAATACAAAAATTAGCCTGGTGTGGAAGTACACATCTGTAGTCCCAGCTACTGGGGAGAGGCTGATGCAGGAGAATTGCTTGAACCCGGGAGGCAAATGTTGTGGTGAGCCAATATCGCACCACTGCACTCCAGCCTGGGCAACAGAGCAAGACTGTCTCCAAAAAAAAAAAAAAAAGAAAAGAATTTAGAAACAAGAAAAGACTGATACACTCGACTACATTTTTAAAAAAGGATTTACAGGGCAGAGCCCACCATCAGCTAAGTAAAAAGACAAATGGCAAAGTAGGAAAACACATTTGCAATTTTTTACTCTATCACAAGGGTTCACCTCCTTAATGAGAGTTCCCCAGAAGACAAAATAGATTAAAAACATGATATGAAATCATGATATGAAACAGATATGAATAGATGAAGGCAAATGTTAAAGATACTCAATTTGACTCATTACAAAAGAAAAACAAATTAAAACCACACTAAGATGGCCTTCACATCTATGGAACTGTAAAATCCCCAACCTTTAACGCCCCACTTCGAGGGCGAGCAAGAGGAATCGAGCAGCCCCTTGGACCGCCAGCGGAGCCCTGGGCGGCACCCGACAGAGGGTGTGGGCAGCCATGTCTGTCAACACCTCGGAAGCCTTTGATTCCATATTCCCCCTCCCAGAACCAGAATCAAGGTTACTAACTGCTAAGATAGCGAAACATTGGAAATGACGCAAACGTCTATCAGGAGAGTGGCCGAACAAACAGCAGCAGAACCACCCTGCAGAGCACAACGCAGCTGTAGCAGAACCACCCCGCAGAGCACGACGCAGCTGTAGCAGAACCACCCCGCAGAGCACGACGCAGCTGTAGCAGAACCACCCCGCAGAGCACGACGCAGCTGTAGCAGAACCACCCCGCAGAGCACGACGCAGCTGTAGCAGAACCACCCCGCAGAGCACGACGCAGCTGTAGCAGAACCACCCCGCAGAGCACGACGCAGCTGTAGCAGAACCACCCCGCAGAGCACGACGCAGCTGTAGCAGAACCACCCCGCAGAGCACAACGCAGCTGTAGCAGAACCACCCCGCAGAGCACAACGCAGCTGTAGCAGAACCACCCCGCAGAGCACAACGCAGCTGTAGCAGAACCACCCCGCAGAGCACAACGCAGCTGTAGCAGAAACGAGCACAGGTGACATCTGTGATATTCACTGAAAAATGCAGGGAGCAGAAGCGTGTATCTGGTATGCTACCACTGACGTAGAAAGCAGAGAAATAAAAGGTAAATGTTTGCTTATTTTTGAAACAACAAATCAATAAAGACACTGCAAGGACCAGCCATACATGAAAAGTCTGGTGACCGTTAGGAGGCGGGCAGGGGGTGGAGCCACGGGGATAATGGAGGCAGGGAGCCCCATGCACACGCTGGACTACGATGTTCAACTTTCAGACTTGTAAAATATTCCAAAACATTAAATCAAAAAGGAAGGAAAGCAAACATAAAATCGAAAACAAATTAAAACAAACGGACATACTGAGTATCAAACTGGAGATAAGAATTATTTCGAGGGTTTGGTCACTCTAAGCCAGTTCTACGCCCAAAAGAACCTGTGAAGAACTTGAGCTTCAGCGGGACACGCACTGTGGACACTAACATTAGCAGTGCCACCGTGAAAATGCGTTCTATACCTTGTAAGACAAAACAAGTAAATACGTGATCAGAAACCATGATTTCCTGTCTAAGAGAGATACAAGTAACGTATGGAAATTTATGGGAAAAATTCTCAATCTGACTCATGAAGATCCACCTGAACTCATGTTTTAACATTTTCCCAGCTCTTCCCAACAAAAGGCTTTGAAGCAAGAAGACCCAGAATCGAAGCACCCCATATCCTGATCTCTGAAATGCCATGGTGTCGCCATCCCCGTTCGGGCCAGCCAGGCTGCTCAGAGAAACGGGCCCTGGCTGGAGGCAGGGAGAGCGTGGGATAAGCCTGGAACCAGCACTGCCCCCGGAGAGCAGGATGCACCCAACGACCAGAGCAGATGAAAGGGGCCCAAAGGGCTCCCAGAATAATAATGACTGCAACCCTGAGCATCGATGAAGACATAGGCGACCACAGCCACACTCCAAAGACAAAGCAAAACAGCCGGACACCTAATGCTGGGATCGCCACTACTGGGCTAACCCGTCCACTGACTTCTCACTCTGAAAACTGGCAACGAAAGGGAAAAAATTAAACCTCTGCCCTGTCTTTTTGGAGCACAAATATGTAGTTCCTCCCTTGTCAACAGGGAAAGTTCTTTCTTAACAGAAGACTGTGAGCTAATAAAGGCAGACCAAATGATCGAATTAGACAAATTACATTTCGAAAACACTCATTAAATAACTGATGCAAGCAAAGCTGGGCCCAGGTAAAATGAGAGGTGGAAAGTTGGTGGGGGCTAGATTATTTGCATGAAGCCAAAAAACGGCCCAAAGAATTCCTCAGTCAGGTCAAAGGGAAAAACCTCTCTTTCCACAGGAGAAACCTGGAGGTGGGCAGCTTAACCAAGCGACCGAATCAGCATCCTAACAATGAGATGACCTGACATCCATGCCTCCCGAGGTGGTGGGTGTGAAGCACACAGCACTCACAATGAAACCTTCATGGCGTGATCCAGAATCAAACAGCTTGCGGCCCTCGCTCCCAGTGTTCAAGAACTACTTGGGATAAAGCAACAAGTTCAACAATATGAAGAAGCGACCAGATGAGTGCGGAGTATGGGACGTTCTACAAGACAGCTCCCTTGGTCTCTCCCAAGTGCCAGCATCACTGGAAAAAAATCGCAGGCGACTACGAGATTAAAGTGATGATCACAAGCACAATATAAGACCCGGGGCTGGGTCCCAGATCAAAATGGCAGAATGGTACTATGAAATTCATATTATCTTAAATGTGATACTAGAATTGCACATATATAA